CATAACATGTACTTTTTAAAAACCAATTTTATTGATTCACCATTTGTTTACATAATTATATCATTTGAGAGGTCAGCTTCAGACCTCAACATGTGCACAGCTTTCTTCATTCAGCCCACGCTGCCCCCCCCAAACAAAGCCCTAGTGTCACACACTACCACCTTCCCCCACTCTGGTAACCACTACACGTTTTGCAGAGTTTAAAAGTTATTTCTATTGTGTTTTGCCAGTTGCCTTCTTTGGTTACATATATTCCACGAATGTGTGAAACCATCTAGAATTGTTTTTCACATTCTGACCTCTTTCACTTAGTGTAAGAAACTTAGCTCAGCTGGGAGGTCCAGGATCTCCTAGAAATAATTAAATGGAAGAGAACAAATTAGTAAGTAATTCAAGAAAATCCCCCAAACTGAAGTTTCTGAATCTCAGAATAAAAGGCCCCACTGACTACATGGAACAAAGGATGAAAATGACCCATACCAAAATACATCACTATAAAGTGACTGAAAACAGAGAAATCAAGATAGAACAGGCTTCAGGTTTCTTATAAAGAAGAATCAGAACAGCATCAAATTTCACAAGAACAATGCTGGAAGCTAGAAGACATTCATTAGAGCATGCCTTCAAAATTTTAAAGGGAAGAGGTTATAGGAAATACATATAGATTTTTGGCATAGAATTTCATACCCAACCAATTAATCAAGTGTGAGGGTAAATTAAAGATATTTTCAGGTATGCAGGGTGTCAAAATTTTTCCTCCCAAGGCAACTTTTCTCAGAACACTACTGAGTCACAAAAAAAGACAGACAGAATTCTGGTAACAGGAATCTAACCCAGGGTAGCAGCTGTTTGTCAGTTCCAGAAAGATCCCATCAGTATTGCAACTGAAGGTGAGATTAAGCGCATCCAACAATAAAAAGGGGAAAGGTAGCACTAATAGATGCTGTTTTGCTGTTGAATTGTGGTACTTTATAGAGCTATTTGGAGACTAAAACGTAGCTATATATTTGAAGAAATCTAAGCCAAAAGGATAAATCTGGGAAAACAAAAAGTGTAATTATTATGACATTCTGTTCAAAAGTGAACAAAAACAACTAAAAAGGTGTTGATATAACCAAAACATGATCAAATTATTTACTGTGGCGATGCAGGGAGGGGGAAGAAGTGTGTGTAAACCATCCAAATCTTCATTCTCCAGCATATGTGTAAATACAAAAATGAAACATTGTAATCATTATTTTAAACAGTTATTTTGAAAGATTAAAAAATACTATGAGAAATAGCCAAAAGGGTTCAAAGAGGTTATGTTTTTTGGAACGGGATTTAGAAGTAGAGAATTTCAACAAAAAACTGTTGCTTTTCATTGTATGTCATTTAGAATTATTTTGACTTCTTAATGGGTACATATGAGTTCTTCTGCACACTTGAAGTACAAAACCTTTAAAACCAGATAATGATCAGAACTCTATGGGGAGGGCTGGGCCTCTTTCCCTATAGAAGACTGCAACATGTGTTTGGCAAGAGCAAAGAACCTAAAATTTTTGAATTCAGAACCAATCCCAGTCATCTGTCTGGGGCTACTCCACTAGGAAGCAATAAACCAAGAGTCAGAACCGAACCCAGGAGTTTTGGCTCCCATTTTTTTGCAACCAATAGACTATGAAGTCACCATTGAAAGGAATCCTAGGTGTTCTTTTATGAAACAGTCATCAGACAAAACCAGGTGCACAACAGAGTATACTACTATTTGTGCACAAAATGGGGCAGGGAAATTTCATGTATGGGCACGGTTACAAATACCTGAATATCTCTGGCAGAGTGAAAAAGTACACAGCAATATTGACTGGGAAGAATCAGGAGATGGGGGAGACTTGTTTAGTCACTGAATACAGTCTTCTGCTGTTTGACCGTTTGACCTTTTCCATGAATTTATTTTTTTAAAAAAATCAATAAAACAATTAAAAACAAGTGACATTTCACTGCCTAAAGTTCAGTGAGTTACTGTGGTCCCAAACTTATCTCTTGCCGAATCTATCTCGTGCCTTATGCTGCAGGCATAGTGGCTTTTGCAGTTCCCTTTCTCTGCTCATGTAGGTCTGCCATGTTCACTTACATCCTTTCAAGTTGTGTCAGGCAACACCATTGTCATAGAGAAAAATGGAAGTCATGGAGCAGGCTGTAGGATGCAGGATGCTCTCAAGAGCAAGATTTTGGCTTGTTTGACAGAGAAGGGTGGGTAAAACCGGATTTTGGGCTTTAGGGAGGGTGAGTATACACCCAACTCCCACCCATGGCTCTAATCTTATTAACAAGGTGTTCACTGACTAGTTCCTGGGCACAAAAGCACATCAGTATTGCCCCAGAGGGATCCAGCGTCCTGCTCTCCTCGAAGTTAAAAGGAGCCTTATATGCTACACCCAGTCTTTCAGACCTTTGCTAGTCATTGCTTCCAAGACTTGGTATGAATTTCCTAACTCTTCACTCCAGACATCCATGACCTCTATGTTCATTTCAAACATAACTTCTTAGGGCCTTTGCATATACAGTTCCCTCTGCCGGAAAACTCAGGCACCAAATAACTGCATGCTCCTTCCCTGATCTCAGGTGATTGCTCACCACATCTATTCTAAAATAATGGCCACTCACTGTCACTTTCTTTTATTTTCCTTCTAGCCCTTGTTACGACATGACTTTTTGTTATTGTATTTTTCTCAACCCATTAGAATAT